TCATTATGTATATATGTACCTATGTACTATTTTCTATAATTACCAAAAAAATTTATTACATATCATTTGTGGCTTTGCTTGTATCGCAACTGTTGTATCATGGACATAAACCTTCTGTTCTTTCTTTTCAAGATGAATAGCGTGCCATTTACGTTTAGCTTTAAGCTAACTAGTTAATCCTGCATAAAAATTTGTGACCATTTTTATCTTTAGTTTGTCTAACGTCATTTTCAATTTTAGATGATTTGATTGTTGATCCCCGCAACTTTGAATGGATGAGGGAAGCAAATTGCCCAGTTGTAAGCTCTCAACTATTCTTTTTTTTTTGTCCAATGAAGTTAATAGTAAACTTTTTTATTACATTTATGTACGCCAACATGATATGCTTGTATGTTTTTGGTATGCTCATATATATTTAGAATCTGATGGGCTCTTCTTCTTCACGATGATAACTTCACCAAATTAAAAGATATTGAACTTTGTAGAACAAAGTTATAACTCAAACATCTTATTATTCTTTTTCCACTTCATCAAACATAAATATTCTATTTGGTCTCTTGATGTTGTCTGCCTGAATGCAGTCATTCTGGTAATGTCTGCTTTGTCTTGAACCCAAGTTTTTCTAAGTAAGGGAAGCATGCATATTTGAACTGAGTCTCTAGAACATAATCCTATATGGTTATATATAAGCCTCAGTAACTGAAGTTATCGTCAAATACAGTAGCTTTTAGTTATTTTAGAGGAAGATGGTAGTGAGACTGCCAGATTATCAGAGTTGATAAACTGGAATATCTGAAGAGCAGTAGGTAGCTGTGGAGTTGTGTCTTTTGCTTAAGTGTATACTATTCCTTAGTGTTCTCTATCTTACTTAGAGCATGGAATATCCAATTATGTGTCATATTTGTATCTAATGATCTCTATGAAGGAGCTGATTATTGGACATCTGACACAGGTTGCCGATGTTACACATGCACTACAACAACCTGCAGGCAAAAAGGTACGAAGTTATGTAATTTTACTTTCTATAGGCAAGCGTTAGTGAATATTCAAGTACTATATTATACAGAATCTCAATGCTGTCTTCTTTGCTATTATCTATGTTTGAATTTGATATGCGCCAGAATCCCTTGGCAAGGCAGAAACTAGCACTAGCTTGCAATCTAAACTGTACAGAATTTCCCTGAACTAGAGGAAATTTTTATTAATGGTTCTGAAGTGAAGGATAAAAAGTCTTAAAAGTATCCTTATTACTATCTACCTGCGCTAACTAACCCAAAAGACTTTCTTTCTGTAAAATTCATATAAGGCCAACTTTGTCCAAAACATTTACATCAAAAGCACATGACAACTTAAATTAACTTCCTCCCATCATCATACTTTAGTGCTTCAAGTTCAGGTTTTTTTAATGATTTATAGAATTTAGGGGGTTTTGTGCAAAACACCCAAGAGTTCTAGTGCGCAGGGACCCTTGTATTTTACTTTGCAAGTCCTTACTGTGGAAAGTGCAAATAATATGAGAAACCATAATATTTTATTCCTTTCACTTGAAAACTAGATGTCTTTGAATGCATAGTTTCATCTTTTGTTCTCTTCATTAAATAATCAGTGGGTTCAATATCAAGTTGATTGTGACCCTGCACATATTGTAGTTTAGTACGTTATTGCAAATATTGTTGAGTGGAACTGCATTCTAATGGTAGTTAACTATGTTAGACTTCAGCATAAAGCATATTCCGTTTACATTGTGCGTCATCGTTTAGCACACCACTTGATAGTCTAATAGGGAACATTGTTTTCACGAGGATAGTAACTGTCTTAAGAACTCAATGCAGATGAAAATTTCTTTTATTTTTTTCCTCCATATTTTCCCTAAATATAACCGTGAGAAACAAGGCAGAAACTGCAAATTCAAATAAATCTCTTGCATTCTTCTTTAGCTGGATGGTGGAGGTGTTGCAAGTGGAGGTCTCCGTGAATTAATACCATGTATTGCAAGGACATCAGTTGTTGTTGGGGTGGATGGCCTCTTCATGGAGGTAAGAGACAGTGATTTATCTTGTTATATTTGTGCTTATTGCTTGGCTAAGTATAAAATCTCAGAATATAAGTCCTGAGAGAAGATTGTGGACCTTAGCATAATCTATATAATCTAGAGCAACTCTGCATTCATTTTCGCCGAGACATCCTGAAACTCCAAATTGAAAGGTGAAAGTTTTGGTGATGCCTCCTATTGTCCTGATTCCTTCTATTCATGATATTTCATCTAATCATCAAGAAACTATTCATAGGTCTATCTTTCATTAATATGATCAATTACCTGTACTAACTAGTAAACTCAACTTGTTCCATATGTATATTGATAATGTTGTACCACGTAAACTAATAAAATTATTGGCATTTGCAAATAGGGAAATTATGGATAAGCTACTCAAAATAGAGTTTTTAATGCCTTATATTTTCCAATAATGTAAACAAGATCTAACAAACTTTACAGGCTACTAATTAGTGCGCTCTCTTTTCTTCAATACGCTTCAAGGTTGTGGTTGCTAGAAAAAAATTGCTTGCCAAAATTTAGTTGGTTTGGCATCTTGTCATTAAATACCGCCGTAGGGCTCATTACTTATTTATTTACTTATTATTATTATTTTATTATTATTGTTATTGTTTTTTTTTTGTGGAGAAAATAGATGAGGCATCAGGCTGACACTCCAGCCCATCTATTACTATCAAAAGCGAAAAAGCTTTTTGGCTCGCAAAAAGCCAGCACGCAGCCAGCACGCAAGAGAAAGGAACAGCTGTGGGGCCCACCCCCCTGTTCCTCTCTCTTGCGCGCTGGCTGCGTGCTGGCTTTTGCGAGCCAAATAGCAGAGCTGTATCAAAAGTGGTTGTTACAGGCTAAGGCCATACTCCCAACTCCGGAAGGATGGCTATAGGAATCTAGATGTATTACAAAAATATCCACACACCCAAATAGTATCAAAGACAGACAAAAAAACAAGTCTCAAGCAAACTGTAAACATGATTATACATTCAAAAGAAGTTGCCATGCATCTTCATATAAGACTTAGCCATCCGTTCAGAAAACTGTAGGGCTCATCACTATCCTTACCTTACCAGAATCAGGTGAAAACTCGGTAATTTGATGAAAGAAATGGCATCATATTTGATAGGAGCTACAAATAACAGTCGAAAATTTCCTATGGGTGCTGTGTTTTTCCAGGGTTTCTAATATTCACCTTTGCATTCATAGGTTCATGATGACCCCTTGAGTGCACCCGTAGATGGCCCAACACAATGGGTGAGTTCATGGTCTCTGAATTTCCTTTTTTTCCCCCCACTTCTTTTATTATCTTTGGTTATAAGCACAATGAATTTTACCACGAGCCAAATTTGACTGAGATTTAATTTGTGTAGCCTCTGCGCCACTTGGAGGAGCTGCTAGAAGAGCTCATAGCAATAGCTGTAAGTTTCTTACCGCTCTCAGAATTTATCGGCATGTACCATAATCATTTTCCTTTTAATAGGTATTTGCTTACGAAATTTTTTTTTTTCCCTTGGTTGCAGAGGGTCTCGAAGGGGAAAAGGCCATTCAAAATTGATCTCACGCCATTTCGTGATTAACGTGAAGTAATTATACTCAAAATCTGTTACTAAGTGTAATGCTTTTCCTCTGCCTTGCATCAGGCATTACCTGCCATTGTGATATTTTTCTGAATCCTTTTTCAGTAGTTGTACGACTCAGCAGTCGCTCATGTTGTGTTTACATTAAAATCAGTATATCAGGATTTATGTTGTGGTTCTCAATCTCAAATATAATAGTGTACGTTGTTCCCATTTTGTTACTGAAGAACGGCATGTTGGATAATTTAACGATCTAGGCATGAAAAATTGAACTAGAAATACAGATCTAAATTACCGTTCACCGTCGAAAACAATGGATGTCTTCTCCTCTCTCCTCCCGTAGCCAACGATGGGATTTTGGTCTTTTTTCTGTGTACGGTTGAGAGGAGGATTCCCATTCTTTATATAGATATTTGTGATTAATCCTACCCATCATGGTTTAATCACAACCGTGGGATTACACTCCGATCGATCCTATCCATTAGATATTCAAAATAATCACCCAACATGATAAACATGAAACTGTCTAACCAGACCATGTGGTTAGCATCATGATCCTAACTTGAATCGATGGAAACTTTAAATCAAACTCAAAATCGAGTAGGTTGGGCCACATGGGTTCGTTGGATTAATCGAACCCAACACGACATTCATGATTGATTTCTGTAGACATCAAGTTTTAAGGCGCCACAAAGAAACATGAAGAGATAAAGATAATAATTAACAGATTGAAGAATCCTTCTTTTCTATTTCCTCTTCACAGGATACGAAAGGAAAATATCATCGGTTATCATCGGGGAAAATTATTTGGATTATAATTAAACACCCAAGTCCACCTTGCATTAGATATTAAAAGAGGCCAATTACGGCACATATTAATTAATTAAAAGTATAAACCCCTCCTAAAAGCATGTTAAAGTAAAAGAGAGAGAGTCTTGAGTAAATTTCCCTTGAATTGAATATTGAGTGTGTACATATATATATATACAAGTAGAAGAGTGTGAAGTTTGTCCTCATAACCAATGTGGGACTAAACCCACTACTAACACAATATTATCAACAGCCTCCTCAAACTAATGTTGGATCAAACAAAGTGAGTTTGCGTACAAGAAACTTGAATCGATGAACGGATAAGGCCTTTGTGAAGAAATCTGCAAGCTCATCAGCAGATGGGACATGAGGAAGTAGAATTGTCTTGTCCTTGATAACTTGTTGACGGACAAAATGAGCATCGATCTCAATATGTTTGGTCCTCTTATGAAATACTAGATTATTAACAATCTGGATGGCACTCTTATTATCACAATAGAGAGGAGTAGGAGTCGTAATAGAAATACTAAAATCACTGAGAAGATGACGAAGATGAATAATCTCTTTAGTTGTTGTGGACATTGCACGATACTTTATCTCGGTGCTGGAAAGAGCAATAACATCTTGTTCTTACTCCGTCAGGAAATAAGAGAATCACCAAGAAATATACAATAATATGTGCTAGACTTCCTGGTAGTGGGATCACCAGCACAATCAGCATCAGAATATGCACAAAGCTCTAACTTGGATGTAGCAGGAAACAGAAGAGAGCGAGTGATAGTACCTCGGAGATACCGAAGAATCCGTAATAAGATAGCATAATGTGCAGAACGTGGGGCACTAATAAATTGACTAACAATGCCAACAGCATGAGAGAGATATATGGTCGAGAGATACACAGATAGACCAACTGACCAATAAGATGTCGGTATTGGTAAGATCTGATAGAGGCTCACCATCAGTAGAGCGAAGTTTGACATTATATTGGAGGGTAGTATTGACAGTTGCATCATCAGTTAGCCAGCACGATCTAGAATATCTGAGAGATACTTCTATTGAGACAGTAGTACACCCCGCGGACCCTGAGAAATTTTTAGACCAAGAAAATAGCGATGAGATCCAAGATTTTTCATGTGAAATTGTTGTTGTAATTGAGATTTTGCGAACTGTATACCAACATCATCATCACCTGTAATGATCATATCATCTATATAAAGAGGTAAAAAATTCTGCCACGCGATGTAGTGTGAATAAACAGAGAAGCATCTTGATGACTCTTCATAAAGCCCGTCTTGAGCACGACATCACGAAAACACTCAAACCAAGCGCAGGGTGCTTGCTTGAGACTATAAACAGCACGACGAAGGAGACATATGTGTCCCAGAGGAATATTGGATCCTAGAGGCGGTTGCATATATACTGTCTCAGATAAAGAGCCACGGAGAAAAGTATTTTTGACATCCATCTGGTATAATGGCTAACGATGAGCAGCAACAACCGTAAGTAGAGTACGAACGGTGGGCATATGAGCAACAGGAGTAAATGTCTTCTCATAATCAATACCTTATTGCTGAGTAAAACCTCGAGCACTAAACGAGTTTTTCGATGTTCAATGGTGCCATCAGGACGATACTTGACCTTATAAACCCATTTACTGCCAACAAGAAAGATCCCAAGGGGGACAAGGAACAACATCCCAGGTATGTGTTTGCTTAAAGGCTTAAAATTCTTCAGTCATAGCCTATCGCTACTCTGGAAATTGAACTGCTTCTTGAAAGGACTTTGGCTCAACGGTAATATGAATAGCAGCAAGAAAGTTATGAAAGATAGGTGAATAGGAAGTAACCGAAGCATACCGGGCAGGTATGACATGTGGGTGTTTGCCTCGACGAAGAGCAAGAGGAACCTCAGGCGGGGGGATGTTGGTGCAGGTGCGTGGAGATCAACAGTATTTTCTGGAGTGAGTGTCGTGTCCACGGGATAGGGATCAGATGGTGTAAGAGAAGGCTCGGGTGAGGAAGAGTCAACAGAAAGAGATGGAGAGATGTCAAGGAGATCTCCAAAGGAAAACTAGGGTGAAAAAGTGGGTGATGCAGCTGACGGGGAAGCATGATCAGTAGAGTGGAGGAAATTGAAGTAATCAGAAGCAGAATAATATGAAGAATCCTCTTCTATCTAAACGTGACGAGATATATGAACTCGACGAGTTGAGAGATCATAGCAATGATAACCTCGATGTTCCGAATTAATTCCTAAATAGACACAAGAAACAGCTCTGGGAGACAATTTATCACGTTAGTGAGATGGCAGAAGAATGAAACAATGACAACCAAAAATGCGGACCACATCATAACCGGGAGGATGAGTATAAACATGACTATGAGGAGTAGCACCGGAAAGAGAGCTAGATAGAGTGATATTAATAGCATGAGTAGCAGTGAGAATGACCTTAGCCCAGAAACGACGAGGAACAGAGTAAGAAATGAGCATGGATCGAGTGGTATCGAGGATATGACGATGTTTGCGTTCAACAATACAATTTTGCTTATGAGTGTAGGGACATGACTGTTAAAAGATAGTCCCATGAGAGGACATGATAGAGCGCATGGTAGAGGATAGGTATTTGGCATAGTTAGAATGCAAAACTTTAATACGAGATTGTCATTGAGTGAAGATTATAGCAGTGAAGGCTTGATAAGCAGTAAGTACGTCAGAGCGATTCTTAAGTAGGTAAACCCATGTAAAATGAGAGAAATCGTCGATAAAACTAACATAATATAAGTAGTCAGATGAAGAAGGCAGAGAAGATGGCCCCCAAATATCAGAACGTACTAAAATCAAATAAGAAAGTGGATATAGATGTACTCATTTTAAATGGTAAAGTAGTGAATTTAGCCAATTTATAACCAGTACATAACTCAATACTAGAACTAATACATGACCAAGTACTCCAGAGTGAATAAGACTCTCCAGCCTTTTGTTAGACACATGACCAAGTCGTCTATGCTACAAATTGGCAGGAAGGGAGGTAGAGGGTTTTGACGAACAAACAGAAGCAACAAGAGAACGTGGACGTATGGACTCTGGAATATGAAGATATTCCAGAAAATACAGCTTGTGCCTCCTACGACCCGCCCCAACCATCTTGCCTTTCTGTGGATCCTGCACAAGACAAGTATCAAAAGAAAATGAGACAAGCATGTCAGTCATACACAAAGAGCTAATAGAAATTAAATTCAAACACAACTGAGGAGCCACATAGACAGGACCAAGTGTTAGACGATCAGATGGATTATTTTGTGGGGGTAATAGAGTCATACTGAGTGATAGACAATAATTGTCCAGCAGCTGTGTAGATAGGGGGAAGAGAAGATGAAGTGAAGATAGAGGATAAAAGTGAGGCATTATAAGTCATATGAAAGGAACATCCAGAGTAAAAAATCCAAAGATCATTTATACCAGAGACCGAATGGTTAGGTGAAGAACCAGCAAAATGCATACCAGAGAGTTGTGCAGCGAATGTAGAGGTGATATGCTAAAATGCATCAAATTGACGACGAAGACCTTCAATAGCTTGAATAGTAGAGTCTAAAGTGGTAGAAGGTATAGCATTGGCCAACAATCCTGGTGTACGAGAGGGTTGAGACTGAGGGGGTCGCCGACCACGACCAGTACCTGAGGAACGTAACTCAGGATGAAGCTTGAAGCATGTCTCAATACGGTGTCATTCCTTCTTGCAATATTTATAAGAGAACTTAGATCGAGCCTGTGGAGAGGGAGCCTATTGAGAAGTATGATTTATAATAGGAGCAGTGATAGGTACAGATAGAGCAGACTTGAGTGAAGAAGTAGGAGTATCTGTTGACAAATTGAGTCGTGTTGTCTGCTTTCGGGTCTCATAAGTAGTGAGAGCTCCTATAACTGAGGCCAAAGTCAAAAATTAAGGTTGATGAAGTAGTTGATCAGCTATAGTTGAACATTCAGGAAGGGACTGAAATAGTTGATGCACCTCATGCCGCTCGTACCAGGCTAGTCAGTCTTCATATATAGAATCACGTCTAGGAAGCATGGAGCGTAATTCTATCCAAGAAACTTGCATTTGTCCAAAATAAGATTGCAGAGAGCAACTATCTTTGCGTTATAGAGCAACACGTTACAGAGTTATGCCTCCCGTGCACCAGAACACTTAGTGAAACGCTCAGTGAGGCGAGTCCACATGGCCCGAGCAGATGGAAGCGAACCAATTTCTACAGTGAGACCGGAGAAAACATAGCGAGTGAGATAATCCATGACACAAAATTCGTACAACTGTCAGTCCGAACTCTCCTTGACATAGAGAGCACGAGCAATCTGAAGATCGACATCACCACTGCCAAATGTAACAGTACTGGATGAAGCAATAG